CCAAAATCCCCCCCAAAAGACCCCAAACCTCCCATTTCCCCCCTGGGAAGTCCCAAATTTCAGGATTTTTCCCCAAAATTTCAGCATTTCCCCCCAAATTTTGGGATTTCGCCCCGAACTTCGCGCTGCGAGGAGGGGATTTTGGGGGGGTGGGGTTATTTGGGGGGGGGTCTCACCTGGGTCTGGATGCGGCTCAAGCCCCTGACCCACAGCACCTTCCCCCGGCGCAGCTCGGCCGCGTCCAGCTCGGAGCGGTCAGCGGGGTCCGAGCCCTCCGGCCACTGACCGCCCGCGGGGCCGGGGCACTGCGGCCCCCCCGGGACACACACCAGCACCTGGGGACAGCGGGGACACCTTGGGGACACCTTGGGGACACCTTGGGGACACTGGGGACACTGGGGACACCCCGGGGACACCCTGGGGTCAGCCTGGGGTCAGCGGGGTCACTCCAGGGTCAGTGGGGTCAGCGGGGTCCGAGCCCTCCGGCCACTGACCGCCCGCGGGGCCGGGGCACTGCGGCCCCCCCGGGACACACACCAGCACCTGGGAACAGCGGGGACACTGGGGACACCTTGGGGACACCTTGGGGACACTGGGGACACTGGGGACACCCCGGGGACACGCCGGGGACACTGGGGACATCCTGGGGACACCCCAGGGTCGGGGGGGTCACTCCAGGGTCAGTGGGGTCAGCGGGCTCAGACCACTGACCACCCGAGTGGCCGTAGCACTGCGGCCTCTGGGGTCGCACCCCAGGACCTTTGGGGACACTGGGGACACCCTGGGGTCAGGGGGGTCACCCTGGGGTCAGTGGGGTCAGCGGGGTCACTCCAGGGTCAGTGGGGTCAGCGGGCTCAGACCACTGACCACCCGAGTGGCCGTAGCACTGCGGCCTCTGGGGTCGCACCCCAGGACCTTTGGGGACACTGGGGACACTGGGGACACTGGGGACAGGGGGTCCCATGGGGTGGGGGTCCCCATAGGTCACGGGGCTCTGTGGGGGGGGATCTTTTGGATTGCCCAGGTTGGGACACCCCTGGGGACATGGGGACACCCTTGGGGACACCCCTGGGGACAGCGCTGCTCCGAGGGCGGCGCATGCAGCGGGGCAGCACGGCCGCTGTCGATGTCAAACAGCACCTCCCCTGGGGACACACATGGGGACAGGGACATGGGGACACCCCTGGGGACATGGGGACACCCCTGGGGACATGGGGACACTCATGGGGACACCCCTGGGGACATGGGGACACCCCTGGGGACACATGGGGACACACATGAGGACTTGGCTGTGAGCGTGAGAAACACTCCCCTGTGTCCCCTGTGTCCCCTGTCCCCTGTCCGTGTCACTGACCGGCGAAGAGCAGGGTGAAGATGACCAGCAGCGGGGAGGGGATGTGTCCCACCGTGTCCCACCGTGTCCCACCATGTCTCACCGTGTCCCACCGTGTCCCCATGGGTTCCCATGGATTCCCATGGATTCCCATCACCTGTGGGTCCCCTCCCAGGCTGTCCCCTGTCCCCTGTGAGTGTCACTGACCGGCGAAGAGCAGGGTGAAGATGACCAGCAGCTGCTAGGCCATGTGTCCCACCATGTCCCACCGTGTCCCACCGTGTCCCACCGTGTCCCCACCACCTGTGGGACCCCTCCCAGGCTGTCCCCAGTGTCACTGACCGGCGAAGAGCAGGGTGAAGATGACCAGCAGCTGCTAGGCCATGTGTCCCACCATGTCCCACCGTGTCCCACCGTGTCCCACCGTGTCCCACCGTGTCCCACCGTGTCCCACCGTGTCCCCATGGGTTCCCACCACCTGTGGGACCCCTCCCAGGCTGTCCCCAGTGTCACTGACCGGCGAAGAGCAGGGTGAAGATGACCAGCAGCTGCTAGGCCATGTGTCCCACCATGTCCCACCGTGTCCCACCGTGTCCCACCGTGTCCCACCGTGTCCCACCGTGTCCCACCGTGTCCCCATGGGTTCCCACCACCTGTGGGACCCCTCCCAGGCTGTCCCCAGTGTCACTGACCGGCGAAGAGCAGGGTGAAGATGACCAGCAGCTGCTAGGCCATGTGTCCCACCATGTCCCACCGTGTCCCACCGTGTCCCACCGTGTCCCACCGTGTCCCACCGTGTCCCACCGTGTCCCCATGGGTTCCCACCACCTGTGGGACCCCTCCCAGGCTGTCCCCAGTGTCACTGACCGGCGAAGAGCAGGGTGAAGATGACCAGCAGCTGCTAGGCCATGTGTCCCACCATGTCCCACCGTGTCCCACCGTGTCCCACCGTGTCCCACCGTGTCCCACCGTGTCCCACCGTGTCCCCATGGGTTCCCACCACCTGTGGGACCCCTCCCAGGCTGTCCCCAGTGTCACTGACCGGCGAAGAGCAGGGTGAAGATGACCAGCAGCTGCTAGGCCATGTGTCCCACCATGTCCCACCGTGTCCCACCGTGTCCCACCGTGTCCCACCGTGTCCCACCGTGTCCCACCGTGTCCCCATGGGTTCCCACCACCTGTGGGACCCCTCCCAGGCTGTCCCCAGTGTCACTGACCGGCGAAGAGCAGGGTGAAGATGACCAGCAGCTGCTAGGCCATGTGTCCCACCATGTCCCACCGTGTCCCACCGTGTCCCACCGTGTCCCACCGTGTCCCACCGTGTCCCACCGTGTCCCCATGGGTTCCCACCACCTGTGGGACCCCTCCCAGGCTGTCCCCAGTGTCACTGACCGGCGAAGAGCAGGGTGAAGATGACCAGCAGCTGCTAGGCCATGTGTCCCACCATGTCCCACCGTGTCCCACCGTGTCCCACCGTGTCCCACCGTGTCCCACCGTGTCCCACCGTGTCCCCATGGGACATGGGGACACCCCTGGGGACATGGGGACACCCCTGGGGACATGGGGACACCCCTGGGGACATGGGGACACCCCTGGGGACATGGGGACACCCCTGCCCCCCTGGGGACATGGGGACACTCATGGGGACACCCCTGGGGACATGGGGACACCCCTGGGGACACATGGGGACACACATGAGGACTTGGCTGTGAGCGTGAGAAACACTCCCCTGTGTCCCCTGTGTCCCCTGTCCCCTGTCCGTGTCACTGACCGGCGAAGAGCAGGGTGAAGATGACCAGCAGCGGGGAGGGGATGTGTCCCACCGTGTCCCACCGTGTCCCACCATGTCTCACCGTGTCCCACCGTGTCCCCATGGGTTCCCATGGATTCCCATGGATTCCCATCACCTGTGGGTCCCCTCCCAGGCTGTCCCCTGTCCCCTGTGAGTGTCACTGACCGGCGAAGAGCAGGGTGAAGATGACCAGCAGCTGCTAGGCCATGTGTCCCACCATGTCCCACCGTGTCCCACCGTGTCCCACCGTGTCCCACCGTGTCCCCATGGGTTCCCATCCCCTGTGGGTCCCCTCCCAGGCTGTCCCCAGTGTCACTGACCGGCGAAGAGCAGGGTGAAGATGACCAGCAGCTGGTAGGCGGCGTGGCCCAGGATGTTGCGCAGCATGGTGCCCGACACCAGCGGGTGGTCGCGCCCGTAGGGCCGGCGCAGCAGCAGCGCCTCCGTGGGCGGCTCGGTGGCCAGCGCCAGCGACGCCAGCGTGTCCATGATCAGGTTCACCCACAGCATCTGCACCGCCTTCAGCGGAGAGTCCTGGCACGGGGGGCACGGGTGGGCACGGGGGGCACAGGGGGCGGGACATGGGGACACCCCTGGGGACATGGGGACACCCCTGGGGACATGGGGACACCCCTGGGGACATGGGGACACCCCTGGGGACATGGGGACACCCCTGGGGACATGGGGACACCCCTGGGGACATGGGGACACCCCTGGGGACATGGGGACACCCCTGGGGACATGGGGACACCCCTGGGGACACATGGGGACACACATGAGGACTTGGCTGTGAGCGTGAGAAACACTCCCCTGTGTCCCCTGTGTCCCCTGTCCCCTGTCCGTGTCACTGACCGGCGAAGAGCAGGGTGAAGATGACCAGCAGCGGGGAGGGGATGTGTCCCACCGTGTCCCACCGTGTCCCACCGTGTCCCCATGGGTTCCCATGGATTCCCATGGATTCCCATCACCTGTGGGTCCCCTCCCAGGCTGTCCCCTGTCCCCTGTGAGTGTCACTGACCGGCGAAGAGCAGGGTGAAGATGACCAGCAGCTGCTAGGCCATGTGTCCCACCATGTCCCACCGTGTCCCACCGTGTCCCACCGTGTCCCACCGTGTCCCCATGGGTTCCCACCACCTGTGGGACCCCTCCCAGGCTGTCCCCAGTGTCACTGACCGGCGAAGAGCAGGGTGAAGATGACCAGCAGCTGCTAGGCCATGTGTCCCACCATGTCCCACCGTGTCCCACCGTGTCCCCATGGGTTCCCATCCCCTGTGGGTCCCCTCCCAGGCTGTCCCCAGTGTCACTGACCGGCGAAGAGCAGGGTGAAGATGACCAGCAGCTGGTAGGCGGCGTGGCCCAGGATGTTGCGCAGCATGGTGCCCGACACCAGCGGGTGGTCGCGCCCGTAGGGCCGGCGCAGCAGCAGCGCCTCCGTGGGCGGCTCGGTGGCCAGCGCCAGCGACGCCAGCGTGTCCATGATCAGGTTCACCCACAGCATCTGCACCGCCTTCAGCGGAGAGTCCTGGCACGGGGGGCACGGGTGGGCACAGGTGGGCACGGGGGGCACGGGTGGGCACGGGTGGGCACGGGG